TTACAAATTTCCACGCTCAAGGACTACGGTCTTAAGCCGAGAACTTATTAAACCGCCCTCGTAAAATCGCTACGTTTAAACAGTTATATACGTGTGATGGAACGTATATGATTTTCAACAGTGCATGCTAATTGATCGCCACTAATTCACAGCCTGGAGAAGAATAGACTTTCTTTATTAATAAAACTGCGCAGTACCTTACGCTACTATAATGCGATAGTAGAATCATCGAGGTCTTATTGGAACCCTAAATAGCATGGGTCCTTATCTTTTCCTTGCTTATCCACCTTCACATACCTATCAGGTGCAAAACAGGAAATACATTAAGGGGATATAGTAAGTCAGCTCAAATTCTAATTTCGCCCCCACTTCCCCGCGCGTCGCATGCTATGTACCGACATGTTTGTAGTCACTAATACTGTAAGTAGATAGGTCGTTAGATACTTATTTCATTAGGTTTCTCATATTTATGCCTGTTTTTTTACGCCAACCCAGTCGCTTCTGATTTTTATTACTGTTATTTCCCATTTTAATTTTACGTCGTCCTGTTGCGTAATGTGTATTCTGATTGTAAGCGACACAGCTTTCCTCTTTCAAAGCCGAAACAAGACTGATGGAGACTGATCGGGCGGCAGGAAACAAGCTTCAAGACGCCGATAGTTTACGTAATTTCTTTTTACAGTGAAAATAATTATAATTAAAAAAAATATAAGCCCTGCTTTATACTAGGCTGCACTAAAAGTATCGGGAATGGAATATTTCCACTGTTCCTGTCATATTTAAATCTTTTTAATTGAAAACTCCTTGGTTTTAAAAATCAAATACCATTTATTTATTTTAAAAAAGATTCTCGGTCTTGTCACAAGGTTTTGTCCATAGAGTATCTTTTTATGGTTTTGTCAAACTTGTATCGTTGAGAAAATGGAATTGACTCGAGAAAATTCAAGGGCGACGATTAATTATGACTTTCGAAGTGGTTTAACACAAAAACAAGGGTTGGGTTTACAATTCGGTCGCCTGAATTTGAAGATTCTGTCACTGTGGGGGGTCAAGGGGGTTTATCTGAAGCACCCCCACTCGATTTTTGCTGCCGGAGCAGCGTCGAAGTATTAATTATTTTTTAAAAATATTGGTAAATGACTAATTAATTACGTTTTTGACGTTTCATCTGTCAATGTCATATCGATTTATAGTACTGAATCGATCGAGTGAATCGATATTTCACCCTAGAGAACCGAGATCGAAACTTTTTCTGTTTTATTAAGATTTGTAAAATTACTTACAATTAGTTGAATATACCCTAACTCATAAAGAATGACAGTTTTTAATTCAATCATTCAACGTTATCTGTACTTTATTGTATCTTTTGATAACGCAAATCAAAAAAAAGATCGATTTTTTTTCCGATTTCAATTTTTTTGTGAATCGATTCATCCAATTTCGATTTGAATCGATTTTAAAATGTGTAAAATTAATCGCTAGGCCGGCCATTTTGTTGACAGTTTTTCGTAATGCCGTTGCTTCAGAGTTTCATAATTTTGGTGAATAGTAGAATATTTTTGGCGGCGGAATACTGCTAAATATCGCAAAGATCCTTTCTTACAGATGGTGGCAACCATAAATTATGTTTATAAATTATAGTAGTTATAAAAGTTAATGTTTTGGTGTTATATTGGGTGCAAAAAGCGAGCCTAGGACGTGGGGCACCCCGACTCGGACAGGTTAGGTTAGAAGGGGATGACGGGGTCGAGTGAGCGAGCGAAGCGAGCGAATAGACCCCGTCATCCCCCTTCGTGGTTATTTTTTTGTAAACCACTCAGAAGTAGGAGCCCCGCGAAGCGGGGCTCCGTTGACCGGGCTTCCCTCGACTGCACCACGTTAAGTGGCGTGGGGCTCCCGTCCCCCAACTCTCTCTCCCCTTAAATCAGGTTAAAATTGTCATAACAATTACAAAACATAACCTCAAAATGAGATTTTTAAAAATTTATAAAAAAAAAGTTAAGCACGTCCGGCAGAAAGCGGAAGTAGGGGGTGACTCTACAACTACTCCCCCTCCCTCTCACATCACCCCCCACCTCCCTAAATCAGGCGACCGAATTGTAAACTTTACCTAAAAACAGTGTGTTGACCGGATGATTTCTGCATTTCGTGATGAAACCCCATCCAAAACCACAATTTATCGCTGGTTTGCTGAATTTCAACGTGGACGTGTCAAGCTCAGTGATGATCCCCTTCAAGGTCGTCCAAAAACTGCAGTCACCCAAGAAAACGTTAATGCTGTGCGTAAGCTGATTGAGGAAGATCGACATGTGACATACCGCGAAATTCAGGCAACTTTAGACATTGGCATGAGTCAAATACAAATAATCTTGCATGAACAATTAGGTGTAAAAAAAGTTGTTTTCCCGATGGATACCGCATTCGCTCTGTGAAGAACAAAAAGCGGCTCGCGTTATTTGGTGCGTCAGAACTCTCGAAAGATTCCACGCAGGATCCTCAAATGCTGTATACAACATCGTATCAGGTGTCGAATCCTGGATATACGCATACGAACCTGAAACAAAAAACTAGTCACGAGTTTGGGTGTTCGAAAATGAGTTAAAGCCAACAAAAATTGTTCGTTCACGGAGTGTTGCAAAAAAAAATGGTGGCCACGTTTGTCTCCAAACCCGGCCATGTTACGACTATTCCTCTTGAGGGACAAAGAACGGTTAATGCAGAATGGTATGCTAGCATTTGTTTGCCACAGGTCGTTTCTAAACTCCGTAAAGAGAACTGCAACCGCCACCTAATCCTTTATCACGACAATGCGAGTTCTCACATCACACACAAAAGAAAAGAGTTTTTAGAGCAAGAAAATATAGAATTATTAGACCATCCGCCGTACAGCCCCGACCTAAGCCCTAATGATTTCTATACTTTCCCTAAAATAAAGAATAAATTGCGTGGACAGACATTTTCATCACCTGAAGAAGCTGTGGACGCCTACAAAACAGCCATTTTGGAGACTCCGAAATGGAATGGTTGCTTCAATGATTGGTTCCATCATATGGAAAAATGTGTCAAATTTCGCGGAGAATACTTCGAAAAGCAATAAATACATTTTGAAATAGTAATGTTGCGTCACTTCCTTGATTTCAGTCGAAATTTTCAGTGCCGCCCTCGTAGTTATTTCAGTTAGTTTGCAAAGTTTCATGATCTAATTTAAACTATTTTATGAATACCAGCGGTTTGTTCAGTTCAGAGATGACTTTGGATTTTTTCTATCGAGAAAATTTTACGGAATTGTGTTTTCGTCTAGCATAGTACTTACCATTAATCCTCAACTTTACGATATATTTATTTCAAAATTAAAGCTGCAATATTTTCCGCATAACGGAGGATCTTGCTAAGCAATTTGAGGAAGTATTTTTATTATTTCCCCTGAAGTAGTCATATTTATTATACCTGAAGTAATACACTGTTTTATTGTGGGTAAGGAATAAACAATTAAAAATAAAAATCATAAGAATTTGCTTTTATATTTTAATCATTTTAATAATGGTGCCAGTTAAAGCTCGAAATGCTACAATATAATAACTACACTATTACAATTCAAAATATTTCACAATAAAATCTATTAACTTTATATTAAATAATTTTTCATCAACAACAAATATTGCATAGGAATGTGTTTCAAAAAGCTGAAAGATTGTTATGTCCAAAAAAATTAGTTATTTATACATAAAACAATATACTGAAATTAATTATACATAACACAAGCTGTTATGTGTTTATTTACAATTATAACACCTTTGTTTTAAACAGAGGTCTTTAACAGAACTAATTTTAGTGTTGAGTATGCACATAATATCTAAAAATGGCGCATTGTTATTTACAACATGTAATACTAAACGGGGCCTACGTTTAAAGTATTGCTATAGTTACTGCAATCAAAGCCCTACCTGAAGAGATAATATAACAACATTAAATACTCTTTTTCAATAAATAAATATATCCTTTATGCTTTAGCTCCAACAGCAGTGCCAGCCTGCTTGTCTATCTGTTCTTTCTCCAGTTGTTTTCCAAGATATTCCCTGCAAAATTTTATATTTAATTATAACAAATTCTCTGTTTTGCGAAACACTAGCATCCATCGAATTCAACAATTGACTATAAGAAATACTAATGTCTTTTTAAGTCCTCTTATACATAATGTTCGTCTATTGTCTAACCATATAAAAAAAAACATGTTTAATTGTTTGATGAACAAAGAGAAAAAGTTCAAAAGTTAAGTTGTTATGATATGATTAAATAATGTTTTCTGTAAGTTTAGCCGTATTATTTTCAGTCGATTAGTTAGTTTTATGTCTTTCTTTATTTTCGTCAAATGTTAACATATGAGTTTGTTTACACTGGTTCTTGTTATACACTGTTTTACCATGCTACTTCTACTTATTATATAGCGTGAACTACGCCGCGTAGCCTGGGTTTAAACACCAGTCGGAGCCAACATAGTTGATTTTCCGTGGTTGTGGATGGAATTAGTGCCTTTTTGTTTGTGCATGCACATTAGCACATTAACATCCATTTTGCAGTTGAGAGCTTACAAATATTATTAAGTTGTCGCTGTGGTCAAAAGTCGGCCAGGATATATTATATTTATTTATTCTTTTGCATTGTTTAAAACAAATTGCAAACTTAATGTCTTGAGGCATTATATACCAGTGAACTCATGGAGTGGTGAGAATTCGACGTAGGTGTAGCAATACAGAATAAACAATAATTAACTGTACAAATATAACAAATATATATATTATTAAAATAACTATGAATACACATCTGTTTAGCAATATTTACGATATGGATAATTCATGTAAGAAGCCTTGTCATTAATACAAGATTATGTACCAGATTTATTATAATGTTCTGTAATACTTACCAGTTGTGGACCATTAATTTCTGAACGGCGAGCAGCGCCTCGTAACGTACATTAGGGTCCTCGTGGCTCAGTAGATACATTACACGCTGCTTTCCTCCCAATTGTTCGATAATACTGCAACCAAGTTTTAATATAAGCTACATAAATGTTTCTGAAACATTTTTGATATGTTTACTACTTGCACCGGAAAAACAGTATTTCATTCAGTATAGTTCATATCAAATGAAATCCGAAAGAATGTAAACAAACATGGCGGATTGCCTGGCATCCTGGTCTTTAGGGACTAACAGTAGAGAATAGGCTCAAAAGCGACCTCTGGTCGAGAGCTTCCTGGAACTGTCAGGCGAGCACAGCGTGACACACCACGACCCCTTTTGCCAGTAGTGATGCAAACTCATCAAGTCCCGGAATTTTCCAGTTCGTAGCTCTACGGGCTAGACAACTTTGATCCATGAGCCCTAGTTGTAATTTATGGGCTCTGCTTACAAGCTGCCCCAGAAGATGTCAGTGTAGGCCTGATTAGGCTCTTGGTCTGTCTCACGCAAGATTTGTTGCTCAATTGAATTATAGAGCCTCTTTTAGTCATCGGCGGGTTTAACAAAACAGAAACTTTTTTATTCAATGAAGATTTATTTATTTATTTTATTATTTATTGCATCCTTACACAAAATAATACAAAGACTTAATGCCTTGAGGCATTCTCTACCAGTCAACCCATGGAGTGGTGAGAATTTGACGTAGGTGTGGCAATATAGAATAAGAGAACACAATACAAATGATAATTAACTACATAATATATACAAACTACTAATAAATAAACTATACATATATGATCTAACCTTACATATATACAAATATATAAAATAAATGGATATACATACAAGTATACATATTTAAATACATACATAATTAGTATATACAAATGACTACGTCTGTTTGGCAATACATATTAAATAAATAGATGAGTCATGTAAAATGCGTTGTCTTTAATAAATGATCACGGACCAACTTTTTAAAAGCGTACTTATTGGGAGCTTTTCTGATGTCATCGGGCAAGGAGTTCCAAAGGCGTGTAGCCTGAACTGTGAAGGAGTTACCATAGAACTCGGTGAAGTGAACTGGAGTACAGATTTTGTTGTTAGAAGAAGAGCGTAGGACCCTATCATGAGATGAGGAAAGATAATGAAATTTATTCTTAAGATAAGAAGGCGAAGATGGATCATTTAATATGGAAAAAAGTACAAGTAATATTCTGGAGTTGCGCCTCTGCCGGATTGTAAGCCAATTAAAGCTATATATTAGCCAATCTAAGCTAATCTGTATTGAGAAATATGGTCATATTTACGAAGCCCAAAGATAAATCTTATAAAGTTATTGAGGAGGCGTTCCAGCTTGTTCAGAAGATCTTGGGACAGGTCTGGGTAACACACATCTGCATAATCAATTATGGGTAATATAAGTGAATGGACAAGCATGATCTTAGATTTTGTGGGAAGAAAATGTTTTAAACGATACAGAGAGCATAACGTGGCAGTGACTTTACGACTCACATCTGAAACCTGAGTTCTCCAATTCAGCGTGCTGTCGATGTGAAGGCCAAGAGAATTACTGAATGGAATTGTAGTATTATCATAGTAAATAGGAGGTAAGTCTGTCAGATTAATCTTAGCCAGCATCCTTGAGCTACCCACCAGTATAGCTTGGCATTTTAAAGGATTAACCAAAACTCCATAGCGAGTAGACCAATCCTTGATAGCTGCTAAGTTGCCGTTAAGGTTTTTGATCCCATTATGGATATCCCCAATCTCAATTTGCACATAAAGCTGAAGGTCATCGGCATACAAATGGCAGTCGATGATGGAGGTAATAAAGTTTACAAAAATTGAAAACATTATAGGAGAAAGAATACCGCCTTGCGGCACACCAGCATCCACATCAGCCCAAGCTGAGGACAATTGCCCCACACTGACTGACTGCTGTCGACCGCGAAGATAAGATGCAAACCAATCTAATTCAGTAAGGCCAAAATTCAGATGACAGTATGGAAAGAAAGATTTCATGATCAACTGTGTTGAAAGCATTTGAGAAATCAACTAGTACCAGTACTGTTATTTTTATTTCTTCCATGCCTTGTTTAATATTATCAATAACATTAATTAATGCAGTAGTGGTACTATGACCAGGACGAAACCCAGACTGATATATACTCAGTAGGTTATGTTTCGAAATAAAAGTAGAAATTTGCTTGTAAACACAGGATTCTAAAATTTTGAAAAGAAAGGGTAGAATGGATATAGGACGAAAATTATTGGGAAGAATGGGAGTAGGAACTTTTGGGAGAGGCTTTACAAAAGCCCTCTTCCAAAGATTAGGATACTGACCAAGATTAATTGATTATATGGGAAATGGCTGGGAGAAGGGGCTCCAGTATAAATACTACCATATGCTAATCTCGTCGTAACCCACGGCCTTGGACTGGATTGCTAAAATCGACTTTTTGACATCATCCTGAGAAACAGGAGAAAAATTAAAGGTAGGATGTTAGGAATTTGCATAGAAGCAATGGAAGCCATAGTTTGGGAACGAATTGTAGGGTCCAGTGCTTTTACAGAAGCGAAATGTTGGTTGATTTCATCAAGTGACAGAGAAGGACCACAATCCAACGTAGCTGGTCTACAAAGACCGAAAGGTTTTAGGAATTTCCACACTAAAACTGAAGAAGAGTTATTAATACAGTTATGGAAATATCGGCGTTTAGCTACACGTACCATCTGATTACACCTATTCCTGGCTGCTTTAAAAGATATCCAATTTTCTTCAGTTCGATCTCTCTTGAAACGAAGAAAAGCACGATTTCGTCTAGCCATTGCCATCCTTACGCCATCTGTCATCCAAGGGGCAGGGGGACGCTTCAATCTAACCTTGTGAACAGGAGCATGAGCATCATAAAGGCTAAGAATATTGTGGTTAAGGATAGTGACTTTATCATCAACAGTAGATGCTGCTATTAAAGAGGCTAGATCAAGATTAAGAGCGTCATTCCTAAGCTTGTCAAAGTCTATTTTAGAAAAACTGCGAAGATGCATTACAGTAGGTGAATATTTAGGAGGTTTAAGCTTATACGATGCATAAATTAAGTCGTGGCGTGAGAAACCCAAAGCGGGTAACTGTCCATGCATCATCACATGTTCAGGAGAAGCAGCAAGGATTAGGTCAATCAATGAGTCATCGGTTCCGAAGATCGGTTCCGAAGATTATAACAATACTGTTACGAGCTTGAGGTTGGTGACAATAAAAATTGCCGATAAAATTACCTAAATTAACACTTTAATTTACTTTACACAAATTAAAACTAAAAACACTAATAATTAAACACACTAATTCACTTAATTCCGCTCCGAAGCTTCGCTTGTGTCGCCGAGTTCAACTATGCTCTCTCGCATCTTGCAGCCCCTATATATTTAAATTAGCAAAGAAATATCCAGAATGTTCAAGTAAACACGCGCAAGGTACCGAGCGTTCGAGTTTCGACTAGGCGCTGTCGGTTGAGTGATTTGTGATGTAATTTTCTCAATGCTCCCCTCGCTCTCGTTCCTGACACTAGATGGCGCTAGTTGACTTATTCATGCAACACTGCCCCCTCCTAAGACATGCTCGTCCCGAGCATTATCGGTCCCATAATAACGCGCCAAGCGATCCACATGGACGATCTTAGGAGTCCCTCTTGCGCCTTTCTGTATCCGGTAGGTCACATCGTTGATCCTGGTTACAATCCGGTACGGGCCGTCCCATTTAGCTTGAAGCTTAGGAGATTTCCCTTTGCTGCGGACTGGATTGTGCAACCACACTAATGAACCTTCGTTGAACCCTTTATTGTTCATTTTGCGGTCGTACCGGGTTTTCATTTTCTCAGACATTTGCTGGCCCGATTGTCTGACGTGCTCATAAACGTCATTCATTTTGTTCCGCAAGTCATTTGCATAATCGGTTATACTGCGTGGGGCATCAGGTGGTATCCCGGTGATCAGGTCCGCAGGCAGCCGTAATTCTCTTCCAAAGTTTGCGAAAGCTGGTGTCACTGCTGTACTTTCGTGAACAGAACTTCGATATGACAACAAAAACGGTTGTATGTGCTTGTCCCAATCTCGTTGCCGATTGTCTACAACTTTTGCTAGGTACCTCTCCAATGTCTGATTAAATCGTTCCACCATTCCATCAGATTGCGGGTGATAAGAAGTCGTTCTTGTTTTATGAGTACCCATAACTCGGCAAGTTTCCTGGAATATTTGAGACTCAAAATTCCTTCCTTGATCGCTGTGAATCTCTAAAGGTACTCCAAAACGACAGAAAACTTCATGAACTAGTTTATCTGCAACTGTTGAAGCTTCTTGATTTGGAATGGCGAAGACTTCTGGCCACTTAGTGAAGTAATCCATCACAACCATGAAATACTTGTTACCGCTTTCACTCTCCGGAAACGGCCCCGCCACGTCAATGGCTATTCTCTCCCATGGTGCACCCACATTGTACAACTTCAATGCACCTCTACTACGAGTCTGAGGTCCCTTTACAGCCGCACAACTTGTACATTTGCGACACCAGTCCTCGACATCGTTTCGACAGTGGACCCAGTAAAACCGTTCTCGGATCTTCAGTAGAGTTCGTTTAACTCCCAGATGGCCTCCTGAATAATCATTATGGTACAGCTGTAGAACATCCGGTACTTTAGTTTTAGGGACAACCATTTGTAAATGACAGCTGTCTCCCCGAACATTTTCCCATTTACGGCACAGAACTCCATCCTGAAGCAGCAAGCTGTCCCACTGGGCCCAATAGCTTTTAGTGGTTGAACTCATTGCTGAGACGTCGCTCCACTTAGGCTTGGGAGCACTGGCCTTCATCCATTCCAGGATCGGCTTGATGTCCGGATCTTCCTGCTGTGCACGTTGAAAGCTGTCCTTCCACTCGTTGCTGAGGTGGTCTGCCCTGAGCATCCTCACGGATACCACTTCCTTACTCTCTTGCCTAGTACAATGTTTGCAATCTTCAGGACAAGGTCTTCGTGATAATGCATCTGCGTTGCCATGAGATTTCCCGCTGCGATGTTCGATCTC